TCAAGGGCATCCAAATGGGTAAAGAGGAAGTCAAGGTGTCACTGTTTGCTGACGATACAATCGTTTACCTTGAAAACCCTAAAGGCTCCTCCAAAAAGCTCCTAGAACTGATAAACTAATTCAGCAAAGCTTCAGGATACAAAATTAATGTACACAAATCAGTAGCCCTGCCATTATCAGTAGCCTAACAGCTACCAAGCTGAAAATAAAATCAAGAATTCAACCCCTTTTACAATAGCTGCAAAAGAAAAAAAATACTTAGAAATATACCTAACCAAGGAGGTGACAGATCTCTACAAGGAAAACTACAAAACACTGCTTAAAGAAATCACAGATCACACAAACAAATGGAAACACATCCTATGCTTATAGATGAGTAGAATCAATATTGTGAAAATGGCCATACTGCCAAAAGCAGTCTACAAATTCAATGTAATTCCCTTCAAATACCACCATCATTATTCATAGAACTAGAAAAAACAATCCTAAAATTCATATGGAACCAAGAAAGAGCCCACATAGCCAAAGCAAGACTAAGCAAAAAGAACAAATCTGGGGGCATCACATTTCCCAACTTCAAACTATAGTACAAGACCATAGTTACCAAAACAGCATAGTGCTGGTATAAAAATAGACACATAGGCCAATGCAACAGAATAGAGAGCCTAGAAATAAACCCAAATACTTACAGCCCACTGATCTCTGACAAAGCAAACAAAAACATACAGTGGGGAAAGGACATCCTATTCAACAAATGGTACTGGGATAATTGGCAAGCCACATGTAGAATGAAACTGGATCCTCATATCTTACCTTATACAAAAATCAACTTAAGATGGATTAAGGACTTATACCTAAGATCTGAAACTATAAAAATTCTAGAAGACAACATTGGAAAAACCCCTCTAGACACTGGCTTAGGCAAGGATTTCATGACCAAGAACCCAAAAGCAAATGCAATAAAAACAGATAAATAGCTGGGACCTAATTAAACTAAAGAGCTTTTGCACAGCAAAAGGAACAGTCAGCAGAGTAAACAGACAACCCACAGAGTGAGAGAAAATCTTCACAATCTATACATGTGACAAAGGACTAATACAGAATCAACAATGAACTCAAACAAATCAGTAAGAAAAAAACAAACAATCCCATAAAAAAGTGGGCTAAGGACATGAAGGGACAATTTTCAAAAGAAGATATACAAATGGCCAACAAACATGAAAAAATGCTCAACATCCCTAATGATCAGGGAAATGCAAATCCAAACCACAATGTGATACCACCTTACTCCTGCAAGAATGGCCATAATCAAAAAATTAAAAAAATAATAGATTTGGCAGGGATGTGGTGAAAAGGAAACACTTTTACACTGCTGGTGAGAATGTAAACTAGTATAACTACTATGGAAAGCAGTGTGGAGATTCCTTAAATAACTAAAAGTAGAACTACCATTTGATCCAGCAATCCCACTACTGGGTATCTACCCAGATGAAAAGAAGTCATTATACGAAAAAAAATACTTGCCCATGCATGTTTGCAGCAGCACAGTTCGCAATTGCAAAAATATGGAACCAGCCCAAATGCCCATCAATCAACAAGTGAATAAAGAAACTGTGGTAAATATATACCATGGAACACTACTCAGCCATAAAAAAAGGAATGAAATAATGGCATTCACAGCAATTTGGATGGAATTGCAGACCATTATTCTAAGTGAAGTAACTCAGGAATGGAAAACCAGACACTGTATGTTCTCACTCGTAAGTGGGAGTTTGCTGTGAGGATGCAAAGGCGTAAGAATGATACAATGGACTTTGGGGACTCAGAGGAAAGGGTGGGAGGTGGGTGAGGGATAAAAGACTACAAATAGGATACAGTGAATACTGCTCAGGTGATGGGTGCACCAAAATCTCAGAAATCACCACTAAAGAACTTATTCATGTAACCAACCACCACCTGTTCCCCCAAAAACCTATGGAAATAAAAAACAAAAATAAAATTAAAAAATAAAAACAGGAGAAAAAATAAGTAAAGATCTTGAAAAATAAAATAAACTACTATCCTCCAAAGTAAGAAAGAAAATTATTCTGAATTTATAGGTGGGGGGAATTAGTTTTTAAATGGTACAGTGTGCAGATCATTGGACTGACAACATCAACTAAGCTTCAGTAAATGATGAAAACTTACAAATCCTCATTGTTTGACACACAGAAAGATCCAACCTCAGATTGCATCTCTGAAATCTTACGTTGCTGTGGTTGCCTTGCTCATTTTTAAACAATTGCACTTTTTAAAGCAGTAAGGGATGACAACTAAAATAAATTCGCAAATCCTAAATTTACCATTTCTTGGGAGGAAATAATGTACATTAGCAGAAGAGTAGCCAAATTAAAAGACTGAGAGTCCAAATGTGTTAGCATGAAGATGTTGATGAACTTTTTCCCTCCTTTTCTAAGAGTTATAGAGCATTATGTTGCGGTCAGCTGACATGTTATCTCTGGAACCACCATACTGGATATGTGCACAAAAGGAGGTCCCTTGGGGAGCCTACTGAAGTGGTTTACTTACTTTATAACTAAGAAAAATTTAACAAAAAATTAACTGAAAGGGCTAAGGGGGTCATTTCCTTATGCTACTAATGTAGCTTAAACATCAACATTTTAATTTATTGTTATAACAGAGATCTTTTGAAATAGAACACACATAGATTTTTAGAAGAACTAGCTAACAGTCTTAACTAGAAACTGAAGAAGTAAACAGATAATGTTACGAGGTCTCTCAAAGACTTTAAATATGTGAAGACTAACCTAGACCTGTGGGCAGTGTGGAGGTGAAGTTATCTTGTGAAAATATATCACATTAAGCATGTGCTGAGTGTATAAGGTCTGTTTTAGAAATATCTTTATAATCATAGAAATGAAGCACAGAATATAATAGAACAACCAAAAAAGATAAGTCCTGTTAGAAATGTTAAAAGCAGACTCGGGCCGGGCGCGGTGGCTCACACCTGTAATCCCAGCCCTTTGGGAGGCCAAAGTGGGCAGATCACGAGGTCAGGAGTTTGAGACCAGCCTGACCAACAAGGTGAAACTCCGTCTCTACTGAAAATACAAAAATTAGCCAGGCATGGTGACGCACACTTGTGATCCCAGCTACTTGGGAGGCTGAGGCATGAGAATTGCTTCAACCCAGGAGGCGGAGGTTGCAGTGAGCAGAGATCGCGCCATTGCACTCCAGCCTGGGTGACAGAGCAAGACTCCATCTCAAAAAAAAAAAGCAGACTCATTAGTACACCAGCCTAATTAACCAATTAGATTACTGTAAATTACAAAAGTAATTTTACATATATTTTATCATGAAAACTCCCTTTCTGAGTTGAATTAATGTAATAGTGAGGGACATTCTTCTCCAGACATCCCTTCATCAGACACACACACAAAATTACTATTAAATTAAAATTCCTTAAACCCTATCTAAAAAGGATTGTCTATTGGGATGCTCCACTGCATATTTTAAGATGCCCGACATGTTGCAATTTACCCTGTGTGATGGGTAAGGGTGGAGGCCATGAGACATGTCTCTTACTATAGGTGGCAGGCTTGCCCTCCAGTCAAATAATTCTGAGCCTGTTTTTAACGTGAGTAATGGCATTAAAAACTACAAGTTTGAGTTGTACTAAGTTTGAAACTTTCTAGAGCATATTTTGCATTCAAGTTTTAAAATCTGATTGAAATGTACTATTATGCAAATAAGCTATAATTTTTTTAAATTCCATCCTTTTAAATAGTAACCTAAGGCAAATTTAAGTACTATGATTCTAAAAATGCTAATTCACCCTTGTAAAAGATCTCTGAAAAATAAAAATTTATGCCAGTTGAGAAGGTAACTAGTTGCCTCCATGAGTAAAGGTAGACTAGTTTAGACAAAAAACGAGGAAAAACTAGAATCCACAAAAATGATAGTATATATTCAAGTAGTAGATTAAGATCTGTTTATAATTGCTACAAATTTGATGTTGTAGCTTTACGAATAGAACTATGGGCCTAAACTACAAACAAGAATGATTACACAAAATAAATCACATTGTAAAAAATAATTTAAATTAATATAGGAATATTTGATTCAATATATCAGTTACAATTATTATTCGAACTAATGCAACTTCAATTCCACAGATGACTAATAATTATTCTTTTTATCACAAGTATATCAAATTTTTCTAGACATATAGTACTTTTTAAGCCTATCAGAAAAGCTAAAGCATTTGTCATTATCTTGTAATCAGTGTACACTAATTATTATGTCCTGAATCTACCCATTCAATACTTAGATCATTTGTCCAGGCCTTAACACTACTGTCCAATAGAACTGTCTGAGATGGAAATATTCTGTATCTGTACTGTCCAATATGATAACATGTGGCTATTGAACACTTAAATGTGGGTAGTGCAACTGAAGAACTAATTTTTTTATTTTATTTAATTATTCAGTCACATATGACTAGTGGCTACCATAGTAAACATCACAGCTTAGAGGGTTCAAAAAGTAGGACCAAATGTCTTGTTATCATAGGTCTAACTGTGTGTAGTTGGCTTCTTGATCTGCGTAAGCAATGATATTCACAAATGCTTACAAGAATAGTATGCCAAAAAGTCTTCTGCCCTGTGGTTTCATCTTCACTCAAAAATATTATTAAATCTATGCCAGCAAACATCTACTACAGCATTCAGACAACTTCAAACAAAAAAATACAATATGAAAAGATTTTTATTAGTGTTTGTATGTCAGTACAACTATACTGATTAATACTGATTAATGAGCCTGGTGGCCTGTGTCAATCTGTCTAATGTTAGCTCTAGAACAAGTAGAACTCAAACTATGAAATAACCACTGCTAAAAAAGTTTTTGTCTATTACCTAACATAACACAAGAATACCAATTACTACATAGTTTTCAGCTCCATTGGCTAAACACTGCAAAGGCTTGTCAAACCATTTTACCTGACAGACATATTTGTTCTTCCATTTGCTCAGCACACAGTGACTGTTTTGCATCAGCTCCTGAAGTACAACAGAAAAAAAGAGAGCATAGTTGGCTATACACATTGTCATTATCAGTTAAAGTGCCTCTGATTTGCAAGCAAAAAAAGATCAACATGCCACACAAAGATGCAACTGTTTTGGAACTCATCACTGGACAAAAGCAAAGCTATCATCACCATGAGAGTTGATCCTTTATGAAAATTAAAGCTGTTGAAAGATGTTTTAAAAACAGATTTGTTTGTTGCCATTTTTGAAACTTTTTGAAAGATACCTCCAACTCTTTGAGTGAGTCTCGGAGTTTTTCTGGGCGTCTGTTTTTGAGCGTCCAAGGATAATCTCGTGCTGGCAAATAAAACATGTACTACAGTTAGTTAAACAAGATTTAAAAAGGAAATTCTGCTTAGCAGTGTGCCTTAGGAAGATTAAAATAAAACACCTCTATAATTGAGAGGAAGTGGGCTTCATTTCCATCATCAAATGACAGCCTTTTGAAAGGCTTTGTCATAGGAACAGGATTTTTACCACAAAACAATCTCCCTAATCATAATTTTACGATGACAACCAACAAGGCTTGGAGAATCCCAGGGAAAGTTTGCTAGGCTTGTGAATCAAGTAATTCATGGTAAATGATGTACTCTTTGCTAACTTTTTCATGTAAATAATTAAATGGTGAATCCAAAAGAAATTCTAAATTCTACAAGTAACCTACTCAGACCTAAAAAAAAAAAAAATTATCATGAGTAAATGAATATAATGAGCAAAGAAATAAAATAAAATGAAAAGAAATAAAAAATAAAACTGTACATAAAAATATATGAAGTTAGGCATTAAAGCTCCACATTTTAAAACTATGGAAAAATCTGAGGGAAATCCAAGTTTTAACAAATTAGGCCCTAATAGTGCTCTTTTTAATTTAAAACAGTTCTCTTTAAAGTATACACCACAATTGAATAATGATAAGCCTTTGTTTTGCTTTAAATAAATTTAATTGAAAGATAAAATTATTTAGTAGAGTCATCATGTTAGCCTAAAATAAATTAAAAATAGTTCTGCTTAAAATAATTTAAAAATGTTAAACTCATATCTATTTTATCAGAAAAATGAATTCATCTTTGGATTCTCCTCATTAATAATTCCAAACAAGAGTTACATGTGTATTTGTGCTTATGTGTGTGTTGCATGTACATATACATATGTAGTATACATAGATACTTAAATTTGAGAGTAGACTTGCTATATATCTTATTTCAGCAAATGAATTTGGGTCTCTAAACAATTTTGATGTAGAACGTATGTGCAAATTTTTAAATCTGTGTTGCAGCTACTAATACATTATTTTTTAAATTAAATGTCAGTTCAACCATTTAAAAAACAAGAGAACAAATGGGATTTTCAGCTCCAGCTATAATCCAAAAAAATCTTAATGTATATTTAATTTATGTCATTAAAACCATATTACATTGTCGCCATAATATGTATAACATATACTGGAGATCAGAAAAGACTAGAGTGAATAAAATGCTAATACTGATATTACAAATATTATTTTCTTAAAAATGGGTAAGACATGTTAACAATTTAGGCAAAGTATGAATAATTAAATGTTACTATCAGAATTTAAGCTTGGTATAATTATCTTAAATATACTAACATATAGTTCATTATGAAAGTTTATGTTTATATAAACATATATTTTATCAAAACTGAATAGAGATTTCAATGGTCTAAATTAGAAAGGCCTGACAAATACAATTGTTACTCATATGTTTATATTTCTAAGTAATGGGAATTTAAGAAATTTGGAGGGAATAATGTTTCCTCTTTGTTCCAGATGAATATTTTATAATACTGAACTTTCCAGTTTTATAATAATTCCAAAAAATATAAAGTAAGCTTACACTCTGCCAGCTTCTGCTTTTCTTCTAAGTTACCATGCTCTGTCGCTGATATTGTAGCAGAAGGGACAGAAAGAAAAAAACAAAAGTAGAATTTATTTTTATTATAATGCCTTACATTTTAATATGTACATGTATAATGTATTATTAACATTACATGCATTATTGAGATTAATAAATTATGCTTAGATTCTAAAAAGACAGTTGAAAAGAAGGCCATAATTTGGATGTTTTCATTTCATAGAGATATTTCCTAAATTTGCAGAGAAAGGGCACAACAGCTGGACCAATATCCTGAGCTTCCAATCTCATCAGATAGGAAAGAGAACTGCAACAGAGCCCAGAACAGAAGCTGCTTCAGTCTGTCATCAGAACCATGAAGTCAGCCTATTAACCACTAAGCTAAGCACACAGGATGCTCACACAAGCCCACTTCAACGGAGACCAAAACAGGAAGTAACTCTAGCTAGAAAGACCTTTTGGCCCATCATAAAACTTCTGGGATTAACAGGATTAATCAGATAAAGAAAATTGATCATTCACTCAGAAATGCCTATTTCAGATATCAGGTGAGGATCCAGGAGGCCAGCATCAGTAGGACCCATGCATTAACAATGCCCTCTACTGGGACACTGATAAATAAACGTGAATAGACTGCCCTGTTATCAGCCTGATCAGCAGGAAAATGAAAATTTTCATGTCCTTCTACAGCATTTTTTCGATACTACTTTATTTTATATATAACAGATAGATATCAACCTCAGCATTTTTCTAAAAAATTGAAGGGACTTTTCTTAAAATTCTAGAATTTATCTAAAGCTCATAAGAAGAGCGTTTTTAATGGTCAGTATTTCATGGTTTAGAATATTTAGTTAATAAAAATTAATTGCACAGAATAGGTACTTTACCTGGTGGATCTTTCTTGTCATAATACTGGTAAATCCCAATGTTTCTATCTATAGAAAGGAAGAAATAACATTAAATTATGATTAAAAAGTCCCCAAGAATAAGAAGCCAAGCCATACTATATTAGGGGAAGGGTAGGGAAAAAAGCAGAAACAGTCTCCTTATGTTACTAGAAATAAAATGGCTCAAAAGCATCTGGAGATGAGTTCATGTATTCTAGGGATATGCAGAAACTGGAAAGTTTATCAATCTAATGAGAAAAGATTTACACAAAACTAGAATGGCATGAGAAAAAGATTAGTAAAGAACTGAAATCAAGAAAGACCAAGTTTTCTCTTTCACACATCCTCTGATATTTTTCACAGGGCGCTACCAAAAGGAACTGCCACTAAGCAATGCCAAATGAAATCAGTGGATGGAAGAAAATGCCCTGTTGGATTCTGAGCTGTGGTTTTCTTTTCTCCAATTTAGCTCAAGAGTCTAGTTCTTATCCTATGGCATTTGGGAGAAATCCACAGAAGAGAAAGGGAAGATTAGAGGAAGGTTTGGATAAATTATTATCTGAAACTTGTTTAGGCAGGGAAAACCCCTTCTAAACCTAAATTCGGACACTTTGCTGGGGCTACCTAAGAAGCAAAGTTGGGCTTCCCAGATGTCAAGATTCATTTAACCAAGGAATTATTCCAATTTAAATGTAAGATAACAAAATAATTTTGTCCATTTTCTTCATATCTATGAATAATAAAATATTTCTTTCATTGAAGGAACATTTGTTTTCTTCCATACAAAGTAATTCTCAGTTACTAACATAAGGATAAAGAGTATAGGTGGAAGCAGTACAGGCTGCCCCCTAGTGACTGACTGCTCCAGACTTTCTGAAACTGAATGATAAAACTTCAAAAAAAAGTATTACTGCTATAATTAACTTTTCAAATATAGTCTTTCAAAATAGTCAATTGCGTGTACTTGTTAAAGCTCTATTTTATTCATCATGCCATTAGTAGAGGCATACAATTTTAAAGAATGCAGTTTATGTCTACTGGTTAGATTGAATATATCTAATAAGGATTTATTGTGAAAAATCATGAGTAGGACTTCTTGGATACTGATATTTTAATTGTTGTCCTGGATGGTGATTTTATGGGTGTTTTCACATTCTCATGGTTCACAACATAATCTTATGATCTTTACACTTTTCAGTACATACATTATACCTCAATAAAAAGGCTATTTTAAAATCTAAGAACCATAGGCACTACATATGCAGACAATATCTCTATTAAAATATTCCACCCTATAATTATACCCATCATTCCATACATCCAAATATATGCCACAAGTTCTAGAATAGAACTATGAAGATCATAAAGAATCCTGAATTATTTGCACAAGTCTGACCTACTGCATCTGGCCCAGAGTGGGATTGTCAAAACGCAAGCAGAATAAGGAGAGCATCCAGTTAAGAAAACCTGCCCTACAATGGGTGCCAGAGCTGGATGAGGAAGGTGTCCATTCAGAGAGTCAGCCTGACACGGTGTGTTGGAACTCCAGCAGAGTAAGAACATTCTCATGAAGCAATGGCCTGGTGTGGGTATTAGAGGCTAAACAAGGTAAGGAGAACATTTACATATGGGGGCAGCCCAACATGTATATCAAATCCACATGGGGTGAGAAGGGTATCCATACAGGGGAGGGAGCAGCCACAGAGATAGTGGATTGACTGCAAACAGGGTGACTGATTAAGTAAAATAAATAAAAAATAGGGGAGCTCCAGGTTTCCCATTGTCTGAGAAGAAAAATACAAATATGGAAAGGGAGAAAATTAGAATGAACCCTATGGTGGTAGATAGGAATGAGATGTACCAGTGTGAACTCATGGTTTCAATATAGAGAGAGAGATAGATATAGAAATAAATGTGGATGTAAATATGTGTGTATACATACACACATACATTCTGCAAGCTCTGTCCACTAAGAGGGCCTGGGAGCAGCAATACTCCAATAATGAGTGCACCTAAAGCAGAACTTGGCTTCTAGACACCCTTACCCTCTAAAAGGAATAAAGCTCCTTAGAGAAGTGACCGATTCCTAGGCTAGGAAGAGGAAATTACAACATGAGTCTGGAACATTTGTTGTACCAGAAAGAATTAAAGTGCTCCAATTTTGACAGGGACATGTCAAAAAGACACAGAAGCCAGCCTGAAGAGGGTCCCTCTGGCCACATCAGGGACAATTTAAACATCAAAATAAATAATGAAATAAAATAAAATAATGATATGACTATATTATTACAACTGCATAAAGTGGAAAACTTGAATCCACAGAGATAAAATAAATTGATCATATGTAATAATATATTTAAAGTGTGATGAGGAATAGAATATTTACATAATTTCAAGGTACTTCCCTCTGAAATACTTATCACAAAGAAAAAAGTAACTTCGCAGTGGAGAAGCCTTGCAGACACTATCTTATCAGGTAATCATGAATATCATCAGGAAAGGGACAAATTGAAATTATGCACCACCTGATAGGATGCACTGAAATGTATAACCTGAATCTAATTGTGAGGAAATTTCAAATACAACCAAATTTAGGATCATCCTACACAATAACTGGCCTAATATCTTCAAAAATGTTAAGGTCATGAAAGTTTAAAAAAAAAAAAAAGAGAAGAAGGATGAAGGATAACCCAGAATGAAGGATACTAAAGAAACACAGTAACAATGCAATGTGTCACTGTAACAAAATCCTTTTCCTAAAAAAAGAACAATGATGGGACAATTGGTGAACTGGTCCATTTAGACTGAAGTACATCATTATTAATTTCCTGATTTCAATGGCTATACAGTAATGCAGGACAAAATCCTTTTTGTAGGACATATACATGAATGTATTTGGGGTGATAAAGCATCAGGCTACAACTCTCAAATGGTTCAAGAAAAAAAATTCTCTGTACTGACAATTTTTCTGTAAGTTTGTGATTATTTCAAACATTTTAAAAATAAACATCGAGCATAATGACAGCACATTAACAGGGTTACTAATTTAGTCTAGATAGCAGGAAAGGCTTCTCTAAATGACTTAACAAAGCTGAGCCCTAAAGAAGTAGGATTCACAAAAGGTTAAACAGAAGAATGTCCCAATAGAGAGAACGGGTAGGCCCTGCAAAAATGCAGTTGGGGTTGAAGACTATTCCCATGGGGCTACTGTGCACCACTGTGTGATTCTTCTCTAAAAACCATTCACTGACTCAGAATAGAAGGAACAGGGACAGAAAACTTGAGGACACACGGAGGGGTAGGGAAGGCATTTGCTGGGCATGAACAGAAGACGAGGGGTAAAAGGGGATCAACATGGAATAGCTCAGACTTCCAACTATGGGGTCCAAGATGGGTAGGAAGATAAGTGAAGAAGTCCCAATGGACTAGGAGAATGTCAAGTGATTAAAAGACTGACCATCTTGAAGAAGCATAAAAACCTAGATATATGAGAATAAGGGAAAAAGATGAAAAATGGGGAATTATGATTAGAAAAGAAAACATTTCAATTAAAGATTTCCACCAGCAGTAAAATAAGTTCACTTTGGGATTTCTTTTTTCTATTTTCTGAGATTTCTTTACACTTTTGAATTTTGAATTTTTTCTGCAACGTATTTTTAATTTCCAAGAGATTTGTATAATTTCAAACGTTTTCTGAAGCTTCTGTTTTTGTTTCTTGCTTCATGGATTTAGTATTTTTCCTTAGGTCTCTGTTGTACTTTTTTACCCCCTTCCTACATTATCTCTGTTTCTTCAGAGATCCATTCACCTATTCATTTTGTTTTATTTCCTGTTGAAGATATTCCTCAAATATCTGGTGATCCTTAGTTCTCTGTTTGTATTTACAAGTGAGGCACTAAAAAACTGATTGGAAGCCCTGTGTAGACAAATAGAGCTTGCCAACTGGTGAGCTTCACTGATCAGGCAAGGACCAGGGTATTTCACCAAAGAATTCCCTCAAACATCTATGTACAAAGGTCTTCTTTCTAGGGTCATTCAGTCATTCCAGAGAGGAATACCTCAAGCCCCTTCTTTCTTGGAAAGTGTACAAATAGGTATGACATTCTCAGAACCAAGTGGGATTAAGAAGACCTCACCCATAAGTATGTAGGCTTCCTTCCATTTCATGCCTGTTTTCTGTTCAGCAGGTCTTCCACTGCCCCTGGTGTTCCCAACTTTAGAGCCTCCTTAATTAAATATTTCCACAGCATGAAAGGTATCTCACAAGTTCTTCTGCAAACTTTCACGTCCCTTTACTGTCGCTCTCATGATACATACGATCTTCTACAATATCTGGCTCCTCAAATTTCTGTATCTTTCCAGAATTTTGAGTCATAAATTGGCTGTCACCGGAACTCTCCTCTGCAGGTAATTTATATTCAGGTTTTACAGCTCTGCTAATTCCTCTTTCCCTCCCATCTTCCAAAATTTGTCCAATTTCAGTTGTCCCCTCTCTCGAAAGGGTTTATGCTTTCTTTATTTGTATTCCTTTATTGGCATTTTAGAAGAGTTTTAGGAGGAAGTAAACGAATGTTAAATCTACTTTAACTGAAATTTCAATCTATTTACATTTTAAAGCAGATAAACTTGATGAAAATATCACAATCATCCTTAATTCTATATTTGATATGAAGAAACAATACTTTGTAAGGTAAACCATTTTCTTAATAATGATGCTTAAGTGATATAAATAATATTCTTCTCCTAAATACAAGTGTTACTTTGTATAATTAAAGATTTTTTAAAAGATATTTCTTATAAAGTATACTACATCCTATGTTAATAAGCATTATTAAAACACACATATTATTCTCCCCCCAAAAAATGTGAAAAACAAAGAACATGAAAATAATTGTACATCTTAGCTATAAGTTTGAAATGTTATTTTAATATCAAATAGAAATGCCTTTACCATTAGCTATCCTGTACATATTTATGAATATAAATGTTAATATGAAGAATCCCAGAAAAAAAATTGAACATGTGTGTATCTTGAGAGAACAAACATTAAGCCAATAAGATTAATTTTCAAAACTGAAAACCTAACTCAAGCTATAAATATTAAGTTAGTAAGAGTAATTAAAAGGAATTATTTTCCATTAACCAGTTTTTCATTAAGAATAAAGAAAGAATGCAACTCCAGCTGGAGAATTCAGACTCTAACCTTTGCTAGTACTTATTTATAATGGTGTAACATATTTGAAAAATATTGAAATTAATCCAGAGCTCATTTACCCGCAATGTGTAAGGTATTCTTCAAAGACCACAGGTGCAGTTCAGTCAAGCAGAAAGACATCTGATGGCAGAAGGAATCTCTGTCCTGTTTAAAAAATAATTAAAAAGAAGTGCCAATTAATTATCTTCTATTGCCAATAAAACCAAGATACCTTAAAAATAGTAAAAAGAATCATTCGCCACAACTGTTATTTGAAATATGGTCCATTAGAATAAACATGCTCTAGTGTATCCTTGGTTAACCATCCAGAAATAAACTCTAGAAAGAGGAAAAATATACTCCTTTTCCTGGATTTAGTATGTCATCACATTGAGAAATGTGGTAAGAAGAATATATATAGTATTTAGGTTTTCAATAGCATATGTTTGGTTAAGGCTCTGAGTATATTTAGAATTATTTAGTATTTAAGCATTTTTTTTAAGTTTTATTTTTAAGGAAAGGAAACATCTGTTGGTAGTTATTAAGTACGAGCACATTTTGTGGTGCATCTTTGGTATATAAAGCAAATATTTACAATATCCTACATACCAACAGGCTAATTAAAGTGAAATTTGCAAGGTAAATGGTATATAGTTACTATTATAAGAAACATAATTACTTAAAAGTAAACTCTGAAACCACATTAGCATTCAGCTTAGTATGTTAATCTGCATGTCATGATGGATCCAGATATTTTATTCTGTGGGGTTTTTTTTGTTGAAAAAACAAGATGGTAATAACATACATCTTTATTCTCCCTAGCAGGGGCTAGGGATGGACACTATCAATACTTTTCTTTTTAATCAAATACTACCTCATCGATTTAGACTGATTGGGAGAAGGCTAGTCTGCATTAGAAAAAAGGTCAACATTTTACAAATGTTTGAAAGGAATTTATATAATTTTCAAATGTTTGCTTGGAAATACATATAGTACTACACTGTATTTATGTTATCCTACATATTAGAAATATATACAATAATTTAAACTATGGACATTTTATTTATAGAATCATGAAAGAAATGTTCTTTCCAGTAAACTTCTGAATGATGAAGTTTGAAAAATATTTTAAGACATTTTAATGGAGGAAAAATCCTTCAGCTTCTTTAACATTAGGAGTGACTAAAAATATTTCCCATAGTATCCATATGGTTGATAATCCGAAATAATTTCAGACATAGTACAAACTTCCTTGGCCTGCCCTTCATCCTTACATTTATGTGACCTCAATGCACTTACAATCAAGAAACAGATGCACGTTGAACTAATGCGATACAGTATGCTACGGACTGAAACAGCAGAGTGAAAAATGTGGCAGCACAGAAGAGGGGCCCAATCCTGACTGAACAGCTGGGCTGTGAGAAAGCTCAGAGAAGTTGTGAAATGTTAGTGGGTCCTCAAAGAAGGATAGGATTTCACCAGATGATGATGATGATGATGATGATGATGATGATGATGATGATAATGGAGAAAAAGATGAGGAAGAAAATGATGGTGATAACAACAGACAACACTTACTTGTTCTGAATATTTTACATGTATTAACTTTCTTAATCCTCATAGCTACTCTTTGAGGTAGTACCATCAGTATTCCTATAATGAGGAAACTGAGGCACAGAGTGGTCACATAGCAAGCAGGTGGTGAAGGCTTTGGATCTACACAGACTAGCTCCAGAGTCTGTTTGCAACCACAGTATTCTACTGTATTGGGGTAGACAGAGTTATGGAAGGGAGTATATATAGTATATATAGCATGACCCGGTCGGGTGCAGTGGCTCATGCCTGTAATCCCAGCACTTTGGGAGGCCGAGGTGGATGGATCACGAGGTCGGGAGATCAAGACCAGCCTGGTCAACATGGCAAAACTCCGTCTCTACTAAAAATACAAAAAATTAGCCAGGCATGGTGGCAGGCGCCTGTAGTTCCAGCTACTGGGGAGGCTGAGGCAGGAGAATGGCGAGAACCCGGGAGGCGGAGCTTGCTATGAGCTGAGATTGCGCCACTGCACTCCAGCCTGGGCAACAGAGAAAGACTCCATCTCAAAAAAAAAAAAAAAGAGATGGCATGACCCAAGGATGAAAGTAGATTAAGGTGCACAGTGGATAGTGATAGAAAGGTGAAGCTAGAAAGAGTAAGGAGGAAACAGGCTACAATAGTAAATTTTGGGTTGATCTGAATTTACTTTCTTCCATGCATTAAATGCCTTTAAAGGTAAGAGATGAAATAAGGAATCCCTCAATCCCCAGATCTGCCCTGCTGTGCCTAAATGCTGGCTGCCACTGTATACAGGTTTGGAGTTGGAAAGCTAGTGGACTGCATTACTAAGAGAAAGAATGCAGTTCATTATCAGCAAGCAGTAGAGAAAAAGGGATATTAAGCTAGTTACTAATTTTTCAGTTAAACTGAGTATTATCTTTCAGAGCTGTCACTTTGGAAGTGACTCTAGTGAGCCTACTATTAATGAAAATGTTTCCAATGCAGTGTTCTTAGGAATTGCTTTCAGTTAGTTTTATGAGGCTAATTTTAGAATTGTCATCTTACAGTTAAGCTTTTTTCTTAACTAAAATACTTACCGTATTAGAATATGTAAACTGCAGCCTTTTCATTTGGAAATGTGAGGTCTGGAATGTTTGTTTTAAAATATCAGTTAATGAATTAAATATTTATTTTTCATCTATTTAGCTTAATGTGTAGATTCTAGAATCTGCCTGCCTGTTTTCTTATTCTAATTTCTCAGCTTAGTAGCTAACTTGGACAAATTACCTAACTTCTCTATTTCTAAGAGTCCCCAGCTATAAAATGGGTATAATAAAGTACCTACATCAGGACTGCTTTCAGGATACACTTACTCAATTACCTTAACACTGCAGTTGCTGCTTGCTGTTACTCAGTATATCTATCACTATGCAAATTTGTATGGAAAAAAATAAAACAATAAATATGATCTCTGACCTTATGTGGTAATCTCACAGTATGAAATAAATAACTACTAAGTACAATAGGCGGTTTATGAAGGAAAAACATCCAGATGTGGAGAAGTTACTATACAAGAGAAGGTATTTGAATTAGGACATGCAAATGGGTTAATATTCCATTGCAAGTAAGAAAGAAAAGAGATGGTAAAACAGGTGTATACTTCCTCTGACATTCAGCATCAAAAGTCACCAACTTCTATACTATACTAGAAAAATAAGTTATATTCCTCAATTTAGTTTTTATTCAGATACCAGTAATACTAATTTATGACAACTTGCATAAGACAAGGCTGAAGTTTAGCTGTTTGTTGCTATATAAAAAGTCTTATCATGTAAATTAAATACAGATAAAATTTTGTAGATAAAACCAAAAGACTGCACCTTTACTTACACATCAAAAGAAGATAACACTTGAAATTCCGTATTTCAGTTTAAATCAATTTAGTAATAATTTGTCAAAACTTTCTCCTGATAACAGAAATGGAGAGTGTAGTGTAGTTTTCATTATAATCTACACTGGCTATTTCTAAGAGGCAGAAAAACACCTTTTACTTGAAAAACTGATAGGTCCACTCCCTATATCTTCATTAAGTTTGAAAGTCCTAAATTAATCAAAAATTATAGTGTTTCAAGGAGAATAAGCAAAATGAGATCTGTGAAGAGCTTCAAAGCCAAGAGTCAAGCCATTAATTCTCTACATTTGAACACGGGAAATCCTGAGCATAGTACAGTATAGAGTCTATGACCTGGACTTGTCTTCCAGCTCCGCACCCACGATCCATATGTAGGTCCAATGGTGGTGGGAAGACTGAGAAAAATATACAAGATATTTCTCAAAATGCTCTGATGTACAAACAACACTGTTCTAGTTTCCCATTAAAAAGCACAGGACGAAAGAAGGAGAGAGACATTCTCCTCCTACTTATTAAAGGACCCCTTTGTGGCCCCACAAGGGACCTATCATATAAGGATGGGGAAGCTGGCCAGGCGCGGTGGCTCACACCTGCAATCCCAGCACTTTGGGAGGCCGAGGCAGACGGATCACTTGAGGCCAAGAGTTCGAGACCAGCCTGACCAACATGGCAAAACCCAATCTCTACTAAAAATACAAAAATTAGCTGGGCATGGTGGCACACACCTGTAATCCCAGCTACTTGGGAGGCTGAGGCAGGAGAATCTCTGGAACCCGGGAGGCAAAGGTTGCAGTGAGTCAAGATCATGCCACTGCACTCCAGCCTAGGCGACAGAGACTCCATCTCAAAAAAAAAAAAAGAATGGAGAAGTGGCTGCAGGAAGTGGTGTGCAGCAGAAAGTAAGCAGGAATGGTGAATGTGGTGGTATCCAGACAAAGCAGAATCTGTATCCAGCAAAAGCAGACATGGGTGGTCAAGGAGTGGCCTGTATCATCTGAAGAAATAGCAGCAATAATTAGCAAGTAGTGGGTTCATGGATGAGAAGAAAATGGCCAATGTCCATTAGTAGATGACTGGACTGGTTTATCAACAAAATGTCACAACTCTTGTGGATTCCCCAAGATCTGTGTGATTAAGGAGGGAGCTTTGCAAGTGGTCATGCATTAGCGGGGGAGTGGGGAGAAGACAGTCAAATGTGGGTTATTCATCCTCCTTTTTTCCTTAACTTCAAATATCTCCCAAGAAGATCAGGTAAAACTAAAGAAAATTAATGGAGTAAATAAAACAAGTGTGTAAAAATCTATAATAATAAGTAGATGGGCAAGGTGGGAGAGGACCAAATCAATATCCTTTTTAGTCTTCAAGTTTTATATGTCCTGCAGGTTTTTTTAAAGGACACAAGCTTTTTAAAGACCTCTAAACATCTTGAATCTTACTCAAGTGTGCCACCAGTTAAAAACAATGCTGGTAATTTCCTGGTTTGAAAAATCTGCCTGGAGGAAGTAGTCAAGACTAAGCTTGTATTATTCAAATATTGTATTTGTGTATAAATAGTTGTTTTGCAACCCCATCACAAAGTAGGCAAAGGATATGAACAGACATTTCTCAAAAGAAGACATTCATACAGCCAACAGACACATGAAAAAATGCTCATCATCACTGGCCATCAGAGAAATGCAAATCAAAACCACAATGAGATACCATCTCACACCAGTTA